ATGGAGCCCTGTGGGTCCCACAAGTTCAGTTCTACCATCATCTCTGTTTGTGGTGGAGGGAATAGAGGCACAGAGAGGTTAAGGGCCTTGCCTGAGGTCACACAGCAGTAAGGGACAGAGCTCTAGAGCCGCCTGCCACTCTTCGGGGAGACAGGAAGGTGTGAGCCCTTGCTGTCTGCCCTCTGCTACCTCATCTTTGTTGGGAGAGCAGCACAAGGGGACAGGGGAGCCCGTGTGCTCCCCCCACCTGAGTGTCCTCTGGTCCCAGCCTGGCCAACGCCATGTCCACCCCCTGGTCCACCCTGTGTGGGGTCTGCCACAGGGGTTCTTTAAAGGCACCCTCTGGGCCACCCCTTCCCCCTAGCCTCCCCCATCCACCCCCTTCAGTCCACCCACCTTTCTCCCGAGTCTCAGCTGCACGGAAGCCCAGCTTCTCACTGTGCAGGCGGGAAGCTGAGGCTCAGAGGTCCCGCACGCTGCACGACTCCAGCTCCTCTTTTTAATGAGGTGCCACTCACAGAGAACTGACCGTTGTAACCTAACTAGTCAGGGCTGTTGTTTCACAGGCCTGCCTGGCCAGTACCTCAATCTCATCCCAGAACCTGCCCGTCACCCCCAGAGAAGCCCCCACTACCCGTTAAGCAGTCCCTCCTCCTCCTCTCCCTGGGGCCTCTCATACGATGGGGAAACAGGCTGGAGGGGGCCTGCGGGCAGAGCTGTGACCAGGAAGTGGTGTCCCGTCCCTGATTCCAGCCTGGGTTCAGCTCTCTGCCTTGGAGGAGGTCACAGAGCCCTAGTGCACCTGGGTGAGGTGGGCAGGAGGTCCCCATCCTTCCTCCTCCCTGTCATCCTGGACATTGGGGGAGCCACCGCCCCAGAGCTCCCAGCCCCTCAGACACCCTGCAGGCTGTCTGCCTGTCCCCACCAGGAGGCAGCAGAGAGCCGTCCTGAGGCACCATCTTCTGGGAGAAGGAGCCTGTCCAAGCCGGTCCGCCATCTTCGAGGGTCGGGTTGGAGAGCGGGGTGGATGAGAGGCGCTGAAACTAACTTAGCAGAAGATGCTTCTGTGGTAACTTCCAGGACACAGCTGGTCTGAGGTTGCCCAGATCTGAGCCTACACTGTTCCCCAGGGTTGGGACCCGTGGCCCTGGTCACGCCAGGCATGACCACCTGCTCAGGGGGACAGGATTTGGGGACCTGTGCCCTCCTTGTCTCCTTCATAAACTGCCTTCCCTCCTGCCCTGGCCCTGCCCCACTGGGACCCCACAGCTGACACTGACCCCCTAGGATCCGTTCCTCTCAGGCACCTGGGTCTGGAAGCCAGAAGGTTCAAACCCAACCCCACACACAGCTGAGGGACCCGGGGCAGAGCATGGGTGTCTCCCAGATGAGGCGGCCGCGCTGACACCCGGGAGTGAGGAGGATTCCGGAAGCAGAGAGCTCAGCACAGTGCCAGACCCAGGCCGATGTCGGCTGATTCCTAGCAACACTGCTGCCACTGCAGGGCCACTTCCAACAGCCACAGGCTCCAGACCCACAGGACCGCAGGCCGAGTCGTTCTGGTCGAGTTGTGTAACCTCTCAGACCCTCAGTCTCTTCTACACCACAGACAAAGCCTACCTCCCAGGTATAAACGTCTGTTTCCGGCTGGGAACGGAAGGAGTGGGCAAACTGGGTCACCAACCTCCTCTGAAGCCCGGGCTCAGCTGGTGCAGCTCACGGAGGCTCTGCCCCTCCTGAGCCCATGGCTCTGGGCGGAGACAGTCAGTGCCCCTGTCCCAGCACAGCTCACGTGGGACAGGGAGATAGAGCACGGCTCTCTGCACACAGCACTGACCAGCCCCGCGGCCCCCTGCCATTTCAGAAGGAGATGTCTCTAGTGAGTGACTATGCCCGCTGCAGGCCAGGCATAGTGTGAGCCATGCCGGGGACAGCGAGTGTCCCCACGGCCCTCCCAGGGGGAGATCTGGGGGCTCAGAACTCCCTGGAGGCATCAAACTCCACGCCTGCACTGTCCAGCCCCAACAGAGAGCAGGAAGCAGCCAAGGCCTCCCAGCCCCTCTCCTGACCTGACGGGGCCACCTCCACCCTCTTCCCACCCTCCTCCCACCCTCCTCGAGACCTGGCCTCTCTCTACACCCAGCTCCAAGGAAGTGGCAAAGGGAAAACTGAGGCCCAGAGAGGGATGGTGAATGCCCAAGAAGGCAGAGCAAGCCTTCATCACCATTATGTCCGTGGAGACCACAAGGAAGTTGCCTTCCTGCCCAGACAACGGCCAAACAGGATGGCAGGCTGTGCCCAGCGTGATGCGGAATCTACTCCTGGCAGAGCTCTCTGTAGGTGGAAGAGGTTGCCTCAGGGAGCAGTGAGCTCCCCGTCGACAGGGGCATTCAAGAGCAGTCTGCTCTAGCATCTGTGTTTCCAGCTGCGTTGCCTGAGGAACCTGTAGCCTTTGGTTGGCATTTCCTTAGGCACCTGTGCCCGGCCTGGGAGGACACGGCACCAGCAGGGGGGTGAGAAGCTGCACAAGGTCAGGTGCCATCGAGGCATCTCCGACTCACAGTGACCCCCTGAACAACAGAACGAAACACTCCCCAGTCCTGCACCAGCCGCACAATCCTTGCTCTCTACATCTGAGCCCGTCATAGCAGCCACTG